GAATATGGTTTTCAAACAGTAGAAATAATGCTTTGTTGAAAAAGATCCTTTGAATTCTGTTTATTTTCATAGGCATAGTTATATATAATTAAATCATAATTCTGAAAAACGTAATCACACAATTATATTCTTTCTCATTCTCTAATCATTTCAAATCTTTGAGGACACTGAAAATGTTATTATCATCGCACATGAAACAACATAATTAAAATGTTCAGTTAATAAGTTGGGATACAAAGAAAATAACAAGATGTTTCTGAGTAGATAACTTTACAATGTGTACAGTAATCAAAACAGTATGTGACTAAATAGATTTTATAATGGACCGAAGGCTAAGCCTGGCTATACTGTATATAAGGCTGGTTATATGTACAGTATATATATCTTTGATAAATTTATATACTGGAATCCCAGGTGTAGACATTTAAAATCAGTAAAAAATAAAACGATGAACTCCAGGATATAAGAAAAAAAGCCTGCTTTATTGCTAAGCTTTTGTCAAGTAGCTGTTGACATCATCAGAGTAAGGGCTGAATAATAAGAGAGCCTGTACATACCAGCCAGCGCTCGACTGTGTGCGGCTCAACGAGGCTTACGCGCTGAACAGCTGACAGGTGCGACCAGACTTATGCGCTAAACAGCTGACAGGCGTAATTTGTGAATTTCAACCAATTTCACATTGATGCCGAGACCACCGTGACTGTATGCGAGCAAGCATGTTATGAGCATGCCATATGTACATTCCATACTTTGACCGTTATAACTATTATATAAGTATATGTACAGGCTCCCTTATTATTCAGCCCTTGCTCTGATGATGTCCACAGCTAGTTGACAAAAACTTAGCAATAAAGAAGGCTTTTTTCTTATATCCCAGAGTTCATCATTTTATTTTTTACTGATTTTAAATACAGTGTGTGTGTGTGTGTGTGTGTGTATGTGTACACACACACATACTTCAGATTGGAAGGCGAAACCTACGTTGGACTGCTTTGCAAAGGTGCTTACATAGCTTCTATCCTTAAAGCAGCTGAATCTTTTTCCAATGCTGTCTGGCTGCCCCTCTGCAGTTTTTGTATCATGTACATACTAAGGCATCTTTGTGCCTTTCCATCCCAAAAGCTGTACAGCCAAACTAGAAAGCACAGGACCTTTGAAGGGAGAATCCACTTTAAAAAGTAACAAATAATATACAATGGTTAAATTAGAAAAAATAGTTTTTTTAAAAAATAACATTTTAAAATTAGAACATCTTATACAAAATGAAATTTGGGAAGAAGAATCTTAACTTATTTTTTCTCCTTTATGCAAATGTTTAGATTCTTTTGCCTCTTATTCAGATGCTTCAGAAGTTAGAAAGTGTTACTGTTCTTTGAAGGAGTGGACAGGGAAGGTGGCAAAGTGGGGCTTCGGAAGAAGCTTTTAATCTCTTTGTCTGCTATATGCAAAAGACCAGTTTATTCTGCCTCCTAGGGTTAGGGTTTCTTTGATATCTTTAATGCTGTTGGGACCAATCTGACAGAAAGAATGGTTGGTAAAAATACAGATGGGGTTTCTTTGCTGGGAAAGTGTCAAAATGTGAGTTTAAAAAAAATGTTTTCTCTCCCTTGTGCAAATAGATATTTGCTTTTCTTTCTCTTGCACAGATTCCTGGGAGAATCAGGATCACTACAGTCTGAAAGAACAGCTGAGAAATTGTCAAGATTGGGTCTGAGAAGAGCATAAATTTTTCCCTCATCTATATGCAGGTGAGCAGCTTATTCTGTCTCCTGTGGAGGAAGTTTGGAAGACAGTGTCTAGATTGCAGGAATGGAATGTAGGAGAAGATTAGGAAGGCCACTGCTTCCAGAGAAATGGCTTAGAGAAGCTGAAACGAGTGCTGTGAAAGCCTTGAAGGGAAGCTTTGATTGGATAATCCCAACTAAAACTTATTTGGAAACTGAAACATCTACAGTAACACCTACGAAAGTATGGAAAAACCTTTGGATTCAGCAAAGTACATTGATTAAGAAAGATTCTGGGCAAAGGAAAAAGATTAAGATGGAAACTAAGAAAATAGATGATGGGACATATCAGAGAGAATACTTAAAAAAGAAACATGTGTTTGAATATGGTTAAAGAAATAGAAAAAATTTGAAACACCACTCTAAGAGAGATGAAATGTTTTAGATACTTAAATGTGACTGAATTCAAGAAAAGTATACATACATACATACATACATACATACATACATACGTAGGTCTTTGGTTATTCGGGTTTTCTCCCACGTAAAATTCGAAGTGTCTTGGCGACGTTTCGACGAAGTCCCATTCGTCATCTTCAGGCTGGTGTTTTCAGCTTCGTGCTTCGAGGAGCACGAAGCTGAAAACACCAGCCTGAAGATGACGAATGGGACTTCGTCGAAACGTCACCAAGACACTTCCAATTTTATGCGGGAGAAAACCCGAATAACCAAAGACCTACATACAAACACCCGCGAAAAAATATATACATACATACATACATACATACATGCTTTGAATTAGAGTTAAGGGATTAGATGACTAGATCTATTGAATAGAATTTCTAAAGATTAAATATATTCTTAACTATGATTAAAAAGAATAAGAAATTTGAGAAAATAAACACTATTAATCTAGGAGGGATATATATTCTAAGTACTATGTTATTTCTTATGTTCCGTTATTATTGCTCTCTTCTCTTCTTTTTTATTTTTTATTTCTTTTTCATTTTTTTTTTCATTTTACTCTTATATCCATTACTTAAGAAACGTAAAAATGTGAGATGGCTTATATGGAAAAAATAGAATTAAGTCTGTCAGTGTAAATGTAACTAATCGCTGAGAAAACCTTTACCAGTAAAAATACTTAGAATTTGGTGGGAGAAATAAACTAAAATAAGGATTGTAATAGGATCGATGATCAGGCAATCCAAATGACTGAAAAGAAATGTATTAATAGAATGATTATTTTTTAGGAATATTGGAAAAAATATATACTAAATTGTCATTTATTAAAACAATAAGAATTGTATTAACTCAATGTTTGCAAAAAAAGATGTTTCGGGGAAAGAGGAAATCAACCAAAATTAATATATGGAATACAGACTATAGAAATCAATTGTTAAGGAGTGCTTTTACAAATGTAACCCAGACAACACACTGTTTACCAATTATTGAGTGACTTATGCTTGTGTAAAAAATTAATAAAAAATATAATAATAAAAAAAATCACACACTCTCTAGTCCGTGGGAAAACCTTTCTCCACAGAACTGGTCCCTAGTGTCCAAAAGGTTGGGGACCTCTGCTCTACAGCATTGGTTCTCAATCTTTTCTTCACCATGGACTCTCTTTAAATATCTTTTGTGGCCATGGAAATGGCCATGGACTCCCAAAACCTGACTCAAGATTTAAATTGTAACAGTTCTTCAAGCCTTCATGGACTTCCTGTGATGACTTTGCTGCCTGCCAGAGGTCCACGGACCACAAATTGAGAACCACTGCTCTACGGCATTGTAGCTCACTATACTAATCTGCTTCAGCTGCCTCTACTACTAATTAACTAAGAATATTGCTAAGAAGCCTCAACTCCAGCCATAAGTCTTGCTGCCATTGATGAGTGATTTTTTTCTAGGAGCCGTCAAGTTTGTAAACTAATTGTATTAATTCTCCTGACATCCCCAAAGTCAGGGGCAACAAATTACAGATCCACATTAAAACAAATCAATTGTTCGTCTTCCAAATCTAGGCCAGAAAAGGCCAAGTTTTATCAGTAAGCCAAACTGAGAGCTCCTACCTGCCATCTAATAAATAGCTTTGCCAAGTAGCTATGCCAAGCCCCAGTATACAAGAAAAGTCAGAGATCAGTAATTAACAAAGTACAACATCTTACAAGGACAAGTCAATTAAAATTCTTCAGAGTAATTCAGAAAAGCAAGTGGAAAACTAAGGAAAAGTTTTTGAAAGGTTGTATTTTTAAACTGGAATCCGATATATTCATTGGTCCAGCCAACATCTGCATAGGCTATTTGTTAGACAATTTGGACACTGAATGATACAGTCATTTCTTCATCTTTGCTATCTCTGCCTTCAGAAAGCTACAGGGAGAACATCTTAAAATTATTGTGGGATGTAGCTGAAGCCTGACAGCATTAATTTCTTCTAGACAATTTACAATCCCTGAGATTTTCATTCTATTCTAGTAAAATAAGGTGTACCTTTAGGGGCTTTGAATTTTCCTCATAACTTATAGACACATTTTTTAATTGAAGCTCAAAGCTCTACCAGCTGAAATGAATAGATTTGCCCTCACATCTCAAATCAAAAACTCATAGCAAATCATACCATCTTTAAATATTGAATCTCAATCAAATCTATCAATTCTGATTTACACAGGTCATACATAAAATTGGCCGCTATCTCTGGTGATCCTACTTCATCGGGGATAGTACTTGTATTTTCTACTCATGTATGTTGCTTTCTGTCCATCAATTTCTGCTGGTTTTTTTAAGGAAAATGTTTATGTATTAACTTTAATACTCATGACAGTGTCACTAGAATATATTTTAAGGGCTAAACTAGACATGACATCTCGAAACTGCAATAGAATATTGCAGTCACTTAGAATATCATTTGTCATCTTTATAGAAGGGAGGGAAATGATTAAGAATCAACAACCTATGCTTTCCATTCCTGGATAGTGCTGCACTCTATAGCTGCAGTTGCTTCACTTTGCGAGAAGGTAACATCAATGAAAACTTTTTACCACTAAGATCATCTGGAATTTGGAAATTAGAGTTGAATTGTATAGACTTAACTATGTATTCAATAATCAATTTTCATTTTGAATAATGAGGAAAAATATGCCAGAGGGGGGGGAAATACCCAATTTATGCTCCTTCTTGGTACTTCAACACCCCATCTACTCAGAATTTCTTCTACAAACTTCATAAGCATTTTCAAATAGGCATTGGAAAGAGATTGTAATCAGATAGACATACCTATTTCATTAAAACCACTGTAGCCCAGCTCCTGCCTGCTTAACCCCAATTCTTCAAGGTCCAAACACTCAAATCCTGGTGGACACTGGTAGCCTTCTTCTGATGCTTTTGAACAATGTGTGTCTGGGATTGCCAAATTGTTCCAGGTTATGTTTCTGTTGGGATGACAAGGAAATTAGTTAGTCAAATTGAATGCTATCTGGGTAAAATATGCAATCTTGTTCTTTCTGTAGTGTGCAAAGAAAGGGAAACACTATCTGGTTAGCTTTTACCTTTACTTCCTTGAATATCCAAATCATTGCCTGCATAGAAACAATAGTCTTGTATAAAAATTAGGTGCCACGGTATAACTGCAGAATAATGGATAGTGACAGAGTTATCAACTGAAGGGCTTTCTGATCTTCTGGGAACTGAGAACAATATTAACGCTCTTCAAATTCACACATCATCATCTTTAAATGGAATAATAGTGCAAGAGAATGGAAAAAAGATCTGAAATGATCAGAAGGATTTAGTCCTCAGCAAATTGAGATCTACTATAGGGCAATCCACTAAAGGGGGGAAAAAAACCCAAGTAATATAAGTTATGTATTCATTCAAATGCCAAAAAGGGATAAGTAATTTACTTGGAAAATACCCTCTATCTGTAAATCATTATTTTGAGATAATCCTATTTATTTTTCCTCTCCATCTGAGGAACTAAGAGCAATTGGACTAGAGAATTAATCAGCCTTGAGAAAATCTTAGATTTAGATGGATTCACTTAAGACTATGACGGAAGACTACAGAATAAAATGAGATCTTACAGAACTGAAATGCCTTGGCCATCATTTATTGTAATCTCATTCTTTGTTTAATATGTGGGTTGTAGAAAATAATATAGGCCTGTTTTTAAATACTTAAGGGAAAGAACAGCAGGTAGAAAGAACAGTAGGAATTTGGGAAATGCTTGTTCCATTCCTTTTGCAGGGCACCAAATTAGGGAAAGCTGGAACAGTGTTGGATTGAGACTTTAGTGACCCCAGTTCAAATTCCTATTTGCAATGAAATTCATGGGCCATCTTGGCACAGCCATTTACTCCCAGTTTACTGTGAAAATAAAACAAAGGAAAAGAGCCTAATATGTCCCCTTTAGCAAAATGCGTACCATGTTATAATGAGGGGAAGCTATTTTACCCCAAGTGAATATCACAGTTATGGCTAAGATCCAGTAAGCATATGGGAATTAAGTTCCCTATTAATGCTGGAGCTGAAATCCCATCAATATGGATCTGATAAAGCAGTGTTTCCCAAACTTGACAATTTTAAGGCACGTGGACTTCAACTCCCAGAATTCCACAGCCAGCGTTGCTGGCTGTGGAATTCTGGGAGTTGAAGTCCTCATGCCTTAAAATTGTCAAGTTTGGGAAACACTGTGATAAAGGAACCAAATCAGAAGTCCAGCTCGCTCTGGCAATAGTCATTGAATACATTAACATGCTACTTTTAAAAGTCTTTCTTCCTTGATGTGCGTTGCTCTTTCACAGAGATTAAACAAATATGAACAAGCAAGCAGCAAATAAAAATAAATCATGGCGAAGCCCTCAAAACAGTAAGAAAATGTTGTGTATTAGAAAGTGAGAAGGGGAACAAGAGAGACAACAGTGTGATGCAGATAGACAGACAAATGCCTCAGAAGAAATGTAGTGAGCCAAGTGATAAAGCAAGAAGGTGAGTATGAATATTGGCTGGCAAGACTTAGAATTCTCTTGAGGGAAAGGAAGCAGCCTAAAAACAAAAATGAGGTAAAATTAAGAGAAGCATCACAGAAAATGTAGCACTTAATTCTGTGTTTGCTTTTGAAAACCTTGTTATAAAACAAGGGGTTCAACTGTGCTGAACTTAGGAAAACATACATTTAAATGTATGCAAATAAGGTATTTATGTTTGTTTTAACACTGAACATTTCACCACTGCAAGCATCTTGCTACACTTGGGAAATCCAAGGGAAAGAATTGCTGATTTGGAGTCAAAACTATAGAAGTGGAACCAAACAGTGTGAACTTTCACACAGATAGCCCTCAACTTACAGCCACAACTGAAACCAGAATTTCTGTTGCTAAGCGAGTGACTCATGCCAGATTTTGCCACAGTTTTTAAGTGAATCACTGTAATTCTTAACTGAATCACATGGTCATTAAGCTTCTCCCATTGGGAGAAGCCCATCAATGGCTTCTCCCATTGATTTTGCTTGTCAGAAGCCAGCTGGGAAGATCAGTAATGGTGATCACATGATCCTGGAATGCTGCAACCATTGTAAATACACATCACTGCCAACTACACAAATTTTGAGCATGTGACTGTGGGGATGCTGTGATGATTGTAAGCATGAGGACTGGTTGTAAGTCATTTTTCCCCGGTGCCATGATAGCTTTGAATGGTCAATAAAGGAATGGTTGTAAGTCAAGGACTATTTGTATGTATCACCCATTTATTCTTTTCAGATAATGTATACACTATTTTCCTAATAGAATATTTCTTAAGAGATATTCAGACTGTTTTCAAGTTTCAAACAGTAAAGTACAATAAAATGCTAAAGAAATACAGATACCAAAAAGAATAACATCTTCTATTAGCAGTACTTAAAAACATTATTAAAAACAGCTTCATTTAATAGGTTCACTAAAATTAAGCTTCATTTAATAGGTTCACTAAAATTAAGAATATTGTTAATGTTTTTGTTTCTGTGCTAGCCCTTCCTAATTTAATTGACCCCTTTCTCATTTTATACAAATTTTCTAGGAATTGCACCACAACTGCCTTCTATCTGGCTACAACATTGTCTTTGATAAAATTATTCACGTAGAATACATTTCCTAAGAGCCCTAGAAACCTAACAACAACACTGTCAGACACTGTTGTACATGCTTACAGCAATCTGACAACTATGTTTCATGGGAAATTAGAACTTGTTGGTCCCAAGTTCCCCATTAGAAGATCATATAGCTACAAAGGTTCTTTAAAACTGTGTTGCTAAAGTACCAAATCTCACTAAAATACTTTCACATTTCAAGGTCTCATCATCAAGACCAATATCAAATGCAAAATAAGACAGGGAACAATCCTTTAGAAAGAAAGATTAAGGGAGACACACAGAAAAATCCTGGTTGAGACTTACCCTGGTTTTGTATCATTTGTTACACAATGATATGTGAAAGGTCCAAACATCTGGACCCCCAAAATTCCATACAGAAGCAGAAAGAACAGAAGGAAAATGGAAACACTCCAAATTTGTTCACCTGAACGCCTAGTTTTTTAAAAGGAAAGGAAATGAGAATGAATGTGATATGCATTAAATGTATATACAGTTAAAAAAAAGTAGGACAAAGTTTCCAAGATTTCAGATCCATCAGAAAAGGCTTTGCAGCTGTAGATTAATCACCTATTTTATCAAGTGAGAATTAGAGAAAAATAGTATTTTTTCGTTCTAAATACTGCATTGAATTTAGGTGTTGAACTACACTGGACTCTAATTTAGAACAATTTGTATACTCACAAATGTGTACCTCCCTACATTATTTTTAAAATCTTAAGTATGTAAATAAAAAAAATGTGTCCAAGGAATTAGTAGCTATGACTATTGTAAACTAGGATATTTATTGAAACCCAACAGAAGTGATGATATACACTATGCTGAGAAACCAATCGGGCCTTTGGCAATTTTTTTAAAATGCTTGGTTTTCCTTCTCAAAAGGCAAAGGGCTTGCATAAGTCTGGAAGTTCCCCAATTATTCATCCATATTGCAAAGTTAAATAAAGTAAGCAAAGAGATATGGGAGCATAGGAAATTGAATGCAAGTCTCTCACTCACAATATCCTTTTATACAGCTGTGCCTAAAAACCTACCAAAGCTACACTTTAAAATCAAAGGCAAAAAACAGACTTACTTTAAAATGTTGGTTATCCTGGTTCTTGGTAATTCAAAGCGGAAATAAATTCGGAATGCTCGAATCATAATAAGTGGTCGTGGGATCCTCAGCATGCCCCAAGGAGACATTTGATCAACTATCTCAGCAATTTCAAAAACCTAGGAAGAAAAGGAATGTTTTTTTTCTCTTTGATATTTCCTAATCATGCCAGTCTTCTTTTGCTAGTTTTAAATGGTTATTTCTGCAAAACACTATAATTTTCAGGAACAACATACTTCCACTGTTATCTTTCAGTGGTGGTTTTTGCTAAATTTAGGATTTCCATGCTTCTTAACAGTTTCCTTTGCAACTGATTATCCTGCAGGCTCAAACATCATTGATCTCATTCGACAATATGAAGGAATCTTGAATATATTGATCTAAAACAATTTCACACTAGTGCACTGGAGTAGTCAAATAGAAGGTACAGGATGTCTTTGCTGATATACAATGCTCACATGATAGAATTGCTCCAGGCTAAACTGAAAAGGAAGTGCTCTATGTGAAAAGCAAGCTATGTTAGGCTGCCAGATCAAATAATGGTAACAAGCTCTAGTGCACATACCTAAAATTCAATTTCTTTTAAAACACTAACAAGAGAATGAGTCATTTAAATTTGGAATGCAAAGTGTACTGCATAACATATTGTTATGTTATCAATTATTCTGATAGGAGGATTTCATTAGTTGTATACACTTATATACAGATAAATCTCTTTCTTTTTGAACCATGTAAGGTTTTGTTTGATAAGAATTTTTTGTTTGAAAGTCTTATGCGGACTAAGAGTAGAACTTTTCTCTTTTAGTTTTGTTTAGTTCAGATAGTGTCCAAGCACTCAAAAGTACGCAATTTATATACAGTAATTGGTACATTTCTCAAAATATTAGATAATTAACACTGATCTGAACATTACATTTTAGTTTAGCAATAGCTTGATTGCCCAATTGATTTCACTCTAATAGGTTGCAGTACTGTAGTGAAAGGAGATGGGGAATGAAAAGCAGTATTTTGTTCCAAAAAGACCAGGTGCCAAAGTTGGCTTCGCACCTCTTCATATGCTGCACCAGTTATGCTTCTCCTAGATCAAATGGCTCTTCAGATAGTCACTCATAGCATGGGCACCTTGCAGCTTAATTACTGTAAGACATAGGGTTGTCCATAAAGCCATCCAGAAGCTTCAGCTGTTCCAGAATGCAGTAATGTGAACAGTGATGAGCATGCCTTGCTATGTCCATGTAGCACTTCTGCTTTGGGAGCTACACTACCAATAGCAATAGCACTTAGACTTATATACCACTTCACAGTGCTTTACAGCCCTGTCTAAGTAGTTCATAGAGTCAGCATATTGCCCCCAACATTCTAGGTCCTCGTTTTATCATCCTCGGAAGGATGGACAGCTGAGTCAACCTTGAGCCTGTGAGACTCGAACTGCCAAACTGCTGACAGCAGCAGTCAGCAGAATTAGCCTGCAGTACTGCATTCTAACCACGGCGCCACCACGGCTCTTAAGTGGCCAATTTGCTTCCAAATATGTTCAAAGTGATGATCATAACCGGGTGACGATTTCTATGACATGTCATTTTTTTCTGAAACCTTTATTTGAATTTATAAGTAAGTTAAAACATGTTTTAGAGTAATCTGGTGAGAATTAGATGCTTTTTAGTTTGCTTGAAAAGTCTTACTTTGACTTTTTAAAGGTATCTCATATTTCTGCTTAATTTTGTAACAAATGCTGCATTTTGGTTATATTTGGGTCATTGGCAATCCTCCTGATAAGTCGGCAAGTTTAAGTCAGCAATGAAAGTGATAATTTGCCTATTTGTTTCTTATTCACTCCCCAACTCAGGGAGATTTCTCTCTCTCTTTCTCTCTCTCTCACACACACACACACAGAGAGAGAAAGAGAGAGAGAGAGAGAGAGAGAGAGAGAGAGAGAGAGAGAGAGAGAGAGAGAGAAAGAGAGAGAGAGAGAGAGAGAGAGAGAGAGGAGATGCTGATATACAGTATAAAGAAGATGTTTATTTCAAAGGTTGATCATCAGGGAAATCTCCAGAAATAGATTCCCCCTGAGCTCTGAACATCCTCCACTCTTTTCTTGTCCAGAAGAGTGGCTGAAGACCTAGTGTGGAAGATTAGGATTCCTAACTTCATTCCATTCAGTCTGTCATTTTTGTCATTTTTATCATCTTTTTTTCTTCTTTTTAATTGGAGTTAATGTAATTTCTTTGTTTGGATTGTTGTGAACCTCTCAGAGACATTGGGAGTCAGGCAGCATACAAGTTTAATAATAAAAGGAAAAATAAAATAGATCCTGTTAGGTACACTCTGTGGCATTCAATTACAAGTTTCAAACACTTCTTGAGTCTGCTTAAAGAGGAGAGCCAATCAGAGGATTTTTAAATTAAACTCAATACTCAGTACTTGGGCAGAGATGACTTTATTATAATGAAACAGAATTACCTGTAAAACTAAGGACACCCACAGACAAAATACCATGAATCCATCAAATACACACCAACGGTCCTTCACATAAGAACTATCCCCCTACGGAAAAAAATTAAATTGGATCATATTGTGTTTTCATTGTGTTATTTTATAATCATAATTAAACAAAAGTGATCGGACAGCATTAAAAAACAATGTTTTTTTAGATTTATGGCAATAGGTGCTGATTCAAAACAATAATTTTCTCCAAAATGATATCTTTAGCTGTGCAGCAATTATTAACTCAATGACTCAAGAGGGCAACGCTAAATTAGAGAATGCTGCAATAAATAAATATTTATATTTACATACAAATAAATATCCTGAAAAGAGTGAAATAGGTTTAGTGTCTTAGAAGAATCCTTCGCTTATAATGTGCAACTTAGAAAACATCCTCCATTGACCTCAAAGATGCTTTAGTCTGACAGCTGTTGAAAATACCATGCAACTATTTGGCACAAATATCAGTGCCAAGTTAAAAGCACCTTTTTTATTTCTGTACTAAGTTTGTAAGCAATGCATCTGGAATAGGAGAAGTGAATTAGATAAACTAAACACAGGAAAACTGTTTTTCCCAAATGTAACCCAACATACAAATTGCTTTTATATAGTAACTGATTTTGCTATTTGTGGATATTTTTAAACATTTTTTTTCTTGACTTGTTAACTTTTAGGTTGAACCTGGGACATCAGTGATGTATTAGCTATATGCACTGTTTGCAGATGCATCTTGATCCTTTCATATTTTTTTTGCTGACCAAGAAAAGGCTCTAATGACTTGCAGCTGTAGCAAACTGAAAAATGATATGCTATGGAATTCTCTTTCTTAGGCAGGTCTTTGAATGTACCTTTAAGCTCAGAATTTAAACTCATTCATACATTGCTCCACATATCATTAAAATGAGTAAAATTATAACATGCATAATTATTATACTAATGCCTATATTTGCTTTAAATAAGGATATATAAATTCAGCCCAAGCTTTTTAGCATGTAACTGTATTTAATTCAAAAGTAGACACAGTCAAGAATTATTTCTGTACAGTATTATGTTTTGCAGACTTATATCCAAGAGGATGCTAGAGACAGGTAAAGAGTAATCCCCCAGCAGCATTATTATCCTAATATCTAATTACTGCTACCTGTATTGGAGATAGAAACCTAAGATGGCTTGTTGTTGACAAAAAAACAAAACAAAAAAAACCCCTCAATTGTTTTCTTCTCCCCAAAGTGACAACTGCTGTGAAATTACTGAGAAAGACATTATAATCATACTCACAGAGATGTGTATGGACATAAAAATTATTCATCATTCTGTTAGCATGGGAAGCATGAGTTTCGGTATTACTGATGTCATTTGAGAGATCACAAGAAGTATACCAATGTGGCCACAACAGAATTATTGAAGGCTACACAGGCCTAAGTAATATTCTTTAACTCAGAGTCTTAATGCTCCAAATTCTAGAATTTCAAGACAAGAATATCAGTCTGCTTTCTTATGGAAGCCTTAATACATGAACGAGTTCTGCCAGGTTTTTTTAAAACATGTGTTAGATACTAAGGCCCATCTTATTACAGCCTTTCCTTTTTATATAGATCAGGGGTGTCAAGCTTGCAACATCACATGATGTGTTGTGATGTATCTGCTGAGGAAAATGAGCTGGAACTGGAGCTGATGGAAGTCGAGGGAGGGGTGTCTGTGGCTTCAGAGGAATCTGGGGAAGAGCAGGCTGAGGCAGACCAGGACCTTTCAGGATTGGGACAGGATGAAGGGCAAGGGCCACCTCCTCCTGATCCTAGAGTACTGAGAATGGGGAAAAGGAGGGAATAACGCAGGTAGACCTAGCTACTCGGGAGGAGAGTGCCCCACCCCTCTCCACAAGGCACACCTGGAGACTGAGACTTAAGGAGACGCTATGGGGGAGGGGCATTTGTCAGGAACAAATGCTGAATGCTTGGGGTTTTGCTGATCTTGGAAACAATTCTCTGATCTCCTGTGCTGTGATTTCTGTTTGGAAACCCTGAAACTCTGACCATTGGACTGGCTGACAAACTTGATTTAGTGTTCAAAGACCTCAAGTTGAATTTTGGCTTCCCTTTTGAAACTGCTCAGGCAAACTTGTATTTCCAGACTCATTAGATTTTTGGATGTATCTTTCTTTCCTTGTTATCAACGTGGCCTTGAGTAAATTACTCTTCTAATCTAACTGCTTGTGAGTCAAAGGACGATGGCTTGTTCCATACACACACTTTCCCTGCCTGAAGAGTTAAAAACTTGTGAAACTACTTGCAGTCAGAGGCTGCTGAAGGTGTGTGTGTCTTACTTTGTTCTGCGGCTTGCCAGAAACGTGGGAGCATTTGGGGAAAATTGGAGCAAATAAAAAGCGGTTTGAACTGCCACTTGACTGTCTTGTCTCTGTGCCGTGCCCTGGGTCATCATATATCGTGACTTTTTTGCCACTGCCGACAACGGGGTGGGCATGGTTTTGCTATGATGCATCCGGCCCATGGGCCGGCAGTTTGACACCCCTGATATAGATGATAAATTTCAGCCACTGATCAAATCAGCTGAGAAAATACAATGCTTAAGTGAAAAGAAAATTAAGAGCTATATTGTTCTTTCCAAGTGAAGATGCTAGAGAAGTGCAAGACATAGGGTTTTGTGTACTGAAAATTATGATTCACCAGAGGGATCTTTATTATTTCTTCAGATTTCTTGCCATACTTGTTATAACAACATCCAACACATCTTAAGATGATCTGGCCACAGCAGAAAAATCTCTCACTTCTCTAGGGTTTTAGGACTGAAATTTCTTCAGAAGGAAGATATTATATGAACATATGAATATGTTCTGCTACTGTTCTGCTTTCCAATCCTGTAATTCCTAATCATGCAGTTTGTTCTATACATTGATCTCAAATGCTATAAGGAAAAGAAATAGTGTTCTCTTTTGTAGCTGTGATTTATTCTTCAACCTCCTTAGCTTTGCATAATAACAATGATGACAGCACCTTGTTAACGGGTGCAGGGATGTTTGCAATATGCTTTGACTATTGTTGAGAATATAATTTTATCACTTTTTTATTTTGATGTGTGTCTGTGCCTGATATAGCATATCCCTTTTTTCTGGTCATCTGTTTCTAATGTTATTACTTATGGCAATTCCCTTATGAAATACTAAGGAGTTTGGCATCTGATAAGGACCAATTGATAGACAAAATAAATACTGGGCTCTTACCGTCTATTTTCCTGGAATTTATGCTGAAGTTCTAATAGATCTATAGATCACATCCTGTTGTATGAATGTGACTTAATGCTTCCCAAGGAAGACACAGATCCTATTACAAATCCTAACTATAGTTCTATCTCACACAACCATAGGGACGCTAACCCAATAAATTATTTTTTCTTTCAGTTATTGTATATTCAACTCAGGCTGGATTTATATAAGACTATTCAGAGGTAGATGACATTAGATTTGTTGTAGTTGTTTAATAAAAACCAGCAGCCATAATATATTTGGATGCAGGAAAGGCTTCTGATAAGATTTTTTGGATGTTTCTGAAATGAATATGAAGAGAATCAATTTGGTCCAGTGGTTAAGGCTCCAGGTTAGAAAGTGGATGACCATGAGTTCAAGTCCCGCTTTGCCATGAAAGCCAGCTGGTGGGTGACCTTGGGCCAGTCACTCTCTTTCAGCCCAACTAACCTCACAGGGTTGCTGCTATAGGGAAAATAGAAGGCTGAAGGTATGTTGGATTTGTTTGCAACCTTGAATTATTTGTAAAAATAGTAAAGGTAGGACACAGATAAATAAATTTTGACTCCCTCCAACTTTCATATTCTGTATAGACATATTTCATTTTATTCCTACTTCATAAGTGATTAACAATAGAATGTTTTCTTCTTAAAATATGTGTCATAATAAACCTCAGGAAAGCCCAGTTTCTATATTTAATTTGTTTCTATAAATATAAGGTTATGAAATTATATTTTTTAGAAAACATTAAGAAAATTAGCATAGGTAGAACAAAGTATAGGATTATGTGAATGATTAACAATTTAACATTGTTAATCTATGTTATTTTGCCATTGTCCCAATGATACAATTATAAATTTTCATCACTATGCTGGACACAAGCATATAATTTGCATGATTTATATGATGCAATAATAAAAGCATCATCATTTGCCCCCATTAATCTCCTACCATTTTTCTATTATCCATTGGTAGGATGATTTATTGCTTAACAACTCTTATCAACAGGAAATGTTTCCTAACGTTTATTCTGAAACTCGTTTAACTTCATTCTCTTGTTTCTTATTCTACTCTTTGTTTCAACTAAGTACAAACCTACTCCCCCCCTTTTTTTCCTTTCTTTCTAGCATCTTCCTGCAAGTGCAGGATTGGCTTTTTTCCCTTCCATTAGCTGTGACAGGAATTGACCCACTGGCCTTGTTGCCTGAGCCAGACATTGTGGGCTGAGAGAATGATTATCCCAAAGGCACCCAACTGGCTTTCATGGCTAAGACGGAACTCGAACTCATAACCTCCAGGTTTCTAGCCTGGTGCCTTAGCCACTGAGCCAAACTGGTTCTCTAAAGTGAAACGTCTCTAAACCAGCTCTCTTTAAAGGGGCTGGCTGCCCCTTCTTAAATAACAAAATCTTTATTAACCACTATAATGTCGCTTGTTAGTTTCTCCTATGAACCTAACACTTTTAACTTTTTCTTGTATGTTTTCTTTCCAGAGCCCCACCCTCTGGTTAACTCTTCCTCTAACATTGCTCCAGCTTTTCCTTGATCTTTTTAAATTCGTGGATGCCCCAATCTGGGTACAAAAAAACAAAGCATGGTCTATCCAGAGTAGAATATAATAGAATGATTACTTGCTATATTGCAGATGCAGTGCTTCAGTTAATGTATATCAAAATTGCACTGGTATTTTTAGTTTGATGTTCATGTTCATTAGGCAGTTAGATCCTTCATATGCATTGCCATCAAATCAAACCCTGCAGCAATATATTTATAGATACAGGACTTTATACTAAGAACCATTG